ATCTCACTTAATCCTCAAAATAAGGCATTTGCGATTTAACTAAGGGAACTATCATTTTTTGTAAAAAAAAAGACGTATATACTGTTAATATCCCATGAGGAGCTAAGTGCATAACGCCCTTGTTTCTCATTCACCTTATTATCCATTTTTATTGATGGATAGAATTTAAACGTTGACATAGACAAAGAATATACATTCGTTCAAGAAAAATGGGCAGTAAATAAGCTAGTGACGAAGAAAATGCATCCTTATAATATATTGCCTTATCTATACAAATTTTTTAGAGGTTACTTTTCTTGTGATATAGCCACACCAAGCCGATCTAATCTGGAGCTGGGCATTTACAGATTCAACGTAAACAAAACCATGATAAATAGTGAGGTTTACTGACCACATCGACTCGCAGGAGATAATCAAGTGCGCAATATATTCCAGATTGACAATATAATTTCTTCCAATAAAAAGAGTATAGCGAGTGATAATGAAGAGATAAAATATACTACGATCCGTAATCGTGATTAGAGCCCAAGGAGGTATCCCTTCAGCTCAATTCAATTTCAAGATTGCTAGCTGATATCAATAAAACGCAAAAAACACAAACACCAAGCTCAAATATTAGGAAGCTCCTAGCATGAAATTCGGTGTAACCGTTACTGCTCGAACCCAAAAAATTCAATTATGGGTGATTATTTAATTTAAACATGGACACAAACAAGCTAATATATTGAGGTAAAATTCGTTTTTGAGTGGTGCAAATGTGGTGAACTAGCGTTTTGGAGGAGAATTAAACTTAATAAAAGCGGCACCCAATGTAAATAAAGGCTTAAAATTCTTGTAAGAAAACATAAATTACTACAATAAAATTCCACAATCAAATATCACAAATTACCTTGAAGAAATTTTAATTGAAACTTTTGAAGCTTGTAGCATAAAAAAAGTATTGGATATTCATGCAAATTATGAGGTGTCTCCTTAAACTGAAGAAATTGGGAACATATGATTGCAGCAGGCCAAGTTTCTAGACTTCGTGGTGTTGAAGTATCATAAGATATGGTGTCCTGCTCTGACGATGCCCGTCACAGACTAAGGCTCATTGGTGACGCGGGACGGTGAGCTGAGGAATTATTAGCACAACTCTACGGTCATATCTCCAAGGCAATCTCCCTTAGGTTTCCGATGAGGCTTACTTATGTTTCCCTTCTGCTTGCCTCTTCAAACGAAATAAAAAGCAATTCGACATCAAATTTAAAATATTTTCCTTAGTTCTGAAATTAACTTAATCATGAGATACTCTCCAAAGGACTCTTAGTTCTATAGAGAAAATTCTAAATATCAGGAAAGAAGAAGATAATGCCAGTAACTAAAATGATTAATTTCCCTGTCATTTACTACAAGGCCTTTGGTGTGAATCGATTAAATAAAATATTTCGTAGATAAAGAAAACAGAGTCCCTTCCGCCCGCTTGTAAAACGACTGGAAAGTCACAAAAGCATTAATTTATTCATGGATTCTTCTAAATTCAGTTTCTCCACATATCTAGGAAGTATATACCTCTCGTCTCTAAATGTATCAATTCATATTAAGATTAAGAAATGAATGGCCAGGCAGATTAATCGAATTCGTTTTCTAAGACTAAGTTCGGCAGGTATAATTATTTATATGTTTTGCGTTATTGATAGGTAGAATTAGCTTTATAGAAATAAGACTCCTTTGGAGAATATTATATGATTTAGTTAAGTTCATAATTAAGGAAAACATTATACACTTGAAAGCTGTGTGACCTTGTTTTCACAACTTGGTTATATTGGTAGGAAGACTTAGAGGAACCACATAGTCCGGAGTCCATTGTATGCATGATAATTTCCAGTCAGACCGTGGACGTGGTACATATTCAGACGTTTCTCTAGCATCGTCAATGTGTCTTGCCATTCTTATAACCAAACAACAATTTGTCAAAGAGACAAGTGAAGCTGATCCTTTGACCAAACGTCCGCTAAGCACTTGTGGTATCTCTCCTTCTGTCCTGGGCTAACCACCAAACCTATATCCCCGTATCCTGTCTACACTACCACAATTTTTTACTTGATTATTTGACCTTTTGAGCGACTTCAATGAGAACTCTCCATAATCCATGCTAGCTTTCCCTTTCACCTTCATCCTTGTGATGAGAATGTTAATCCGAGTCTGCCATTTTGTTGTGCAGTCCTCCTTCCACAGGCCTTATCAGAGTCTCCCTCTTGCTCCGTAGGATCCGTCTGTTATTTCCGTGGTTCAAGTATTTCATTCGACCCCTGCCACCCCATCTGTGCTACTCAAGGCTTTATTTTCCAAATTATGCATCTGGGAGAGTAATTCAAGCCTAAAGCCTCTGCTAAATTCTCATGAACAAGCCTTTGCTACATGGACCACGTCTATGGTAAAACAGGCCGCGTCTATTCTGTTTCTATTTGTAATACCAAGTCTATGACTTCCTATGCCCTAGTCTCTTGTGTGCCAACCCATAAATGTTGTGGTATTATTTGCTTTAATTAAGTTCAATGTTGAACCATAACGTTTTTGGGTTGGCATACAAAAGACTAGGGCATAGGAAATCATAGACTACCAATTAGGAATAGAAACAAGATAGACGCAGCGGAGACTAGAACTAAATGGCTGACACTAGGCCTGTTTTACCATAGACGTAGTCCATTTAGCATAGGCTTGACCATGAGACTTACTCAGAGGCTTTAACCTCGAATTAGCCAACCAGACGCAGGGGTTAGGAAAATGACGCCTTGAGTAGCACAGATGGGATGGCAGGGGTCGAGTTAAATACTTGAACAAGGGAGATAGCAGACAGATCCTACGGGGCAAGAGAGAGACTCTGATAAGACCTAGGGAAGGACTGCGTAACAATATGGCAGACTCTGATCAACTTTCCCAGCACAAGGGTGAAGGGGGGTGAGAACGCTAGCGTGGAGTGTGGAGGATTCTCATGAAAGCCACTCAAAAGAGTACACCACACTAGATTTAAATAAGCAATGAAAAAATTGATAGTGAAGGCGTGATATGAGGATATAGGAGAAGTGAATAGCCCAGGACAGGAGAGATACAACTGTTTAGCACCTATTTGGTCAAAGGACCAGCCCCACTTGTCTCTGACTAGTTTTTGTATGGTGCTAAGAATGACGAGACTCACTGACAATCCCGACTACGATGCCAGCGAAACGTCTGGGAATGTACCACGCCAACGGTCCAAATTTTGTAAATGATCATGCATAAAATGCACTCTATACGACGAAAGGCGACTGAGAGCACAAAAAAGCCCACACCATCTTGGTCTTCATATCTTCGATTAATAAAGATAAAGGTGAGGAAATAATGGTAGAATTTATGTTTTTCGAAGATATCCCATAAGAAATAAGCTATTGAAGTTGAGGAATTTTACTTTAATTTTGCCACCTAAGAAAAGGGAAATCATTGGCATCATAAGGAAACCAATGTAAAATTAGCAGTGTCAAGGACAAACAGATGTACCAGTTAATTTTCGAAGAATCCCTCATTACATTGATAGTGACAAATTTTTCATTTAGAACCCAATGGAGACCGACGAAGGATTGTATTGGAGATGTGAGTGCAGGAGTTTATAAGGGCTAGGTTCCCCGTCACCGTCACAGGTCGGTGATTTGGTGCCTTCTTTACACAATCCAGCACTCACAGATCCAAATCAATCTAACTTTAGTTTCTGGGGGGTCCAATTTACGAACCCTTACCATCCACCTATTCATGTTGATACCTAGGCAATCTAGTAAAAAGTGTTTACTTAAGGGCTCAAATTGCCTGAATAGTTAAGATATAAAAAACGAAAACGAAAAGGACGGAAGTAATGAGACAAGTTGAAGGAGTAAGCATAACAAAGCATCTACTCCAACTTGATATTATCATCGTGAAGTCACTTATATAACTAATACTAAATGAAGAGAGTTGGTAAATGATTTTTTTAACTGGCAATAGGAAGTGCTACCTACATACTCATCCATTTATGATCGAAACTAAGTAAATTGAAGGATTTACATTAAAGGAGGATAGTTTACTTTAAGAATAACTTCGTCTATGGCATCTAGATAAGAGGCCAGAGAAGATTAGTTTTAAAGCGAGAATAAAGGCCGAAGAATACCATTGGAATAATAGTACAATTCAAACAGGAGTTGTCAAAGAGAGCCTGGTAAAACGGGTTTATAATGACCGAAAAATGAACCTAATGAGAATCGCATTCGAGTTTCCTAGTAATTTTAGTCTATCCATAAACAAATAATAACCAGAGTATGATCTGGAAGGTTATAATTGGCGTCTATGTATCTAGAATCCAAAACCAGACGTCAGAGAAACCAATTGCTTGTGCTAAGCACCCATACAAAATGTGAGATGTGCGCACCACGAAGTGATAGAAGGCCAAATCTGTATATTATTGACGAAATTAACTCACCTCCGGTACCAGAGGTGTCGTCAATTTCTGTATGGCTGGGAGGAGACAAACTGTCATCGGTTGATTTAGAGAACTTGTGTGTTCTCGAAAGGCTGAAATGTTGATGAAGACTGGCTACAATGCTCTTACGACGAGCGAAAGTTCCAGTATTCAACTTCCCTGCAGCTTTCACCTCTTCATTTAGCTTAGCAACAGTAATTCTCGATGAAGTGCCGGCGCAGCTTGAATCATTATGCTGACTATGGAAGATTTCAACGCCCATCTGCGGCTCGACAGAGATAAAGGCTGAATGATTTGTAGAGGTAGCATTGCGAGGCAGCATGTCGATGCCAAAGGCAGATGAGTCTAAGACTGGAGGGCGGCCAATGTCGCATGCAGAACACGAGCCGCTACTAGTGGATTTAACCTGTATGGGTTGCTGAGAAGACACATTGGTGCAAGTACCCTCGGAGCCTGTAGCCATTGTGGATGAGGAGCTAGTGGAACTAATGGTAGATGAGGTAACAGTGCTTTCAGGTAAAACTGAGGGGAGGGCAATGGCGATTGAGTTCAGTGCAGAGCTGGCCAATTCAGAAGAGGGAAGCGAAAGCTCAGCCAAGTTGAGATAGCGGGCCAGAAGCGAAACACGACCATCATTATCATCAAGTGGGGAATTTACCTCCTTAACCTAGAAAGATAAATATGAAATTCTTAAGGCATTATTTATAAGAAATAAATAAATGCGTGTTAAAAGATAGCACAAAACTGGTTTAATTGAGTTTTATAATTTCATTAAAAGATCAGCCAGTGAATTGTTACACGGAAAAGTGATCCATAAAATAAAGCATTTGGAAGAATTAGACAGTACAGTGATGTAAAAATAGCCATTGCCTACGAAAATTCTTCATTAGAAGTTGAAATCTTCTCGAAACAAAACTGGTAGTCGGAAACAGAATAACTGTTCTATAAAAAGTGGGTTTCAAAGAGTAAATGTTGTTCAAGAGCTAGACAAACTTACGAGGATAAACTTAGACGATTTGCTAAAAAAAAAGTAAGGACACCCAATTTAACAAAGTATTCTTGTTCGTTCCATAAAATTCTACGTATAAAAAATTGACGGCAATACGGCGATGACAGAAGACACGGTATGGAGAGCGTCCCTCAAAAAGACAATATTAAGTTGCGAAATCTGTGAGGAACCAAACCTAAAGTACCCTAATTTGCTGGAGTTTGATCGTAATATGCCTTATAGCATAGATTTACTGGGGGATAAAATTATTTCCATTGACCGAAACCGTAGGTCCCTAGTGATAAAATTATTAAGGTTTTATTATTTTAAATAAATTTTAGTATTAGGAATGATGTCCAATGATTATTTGTAGATACGAAGAGTAACTGGATTATGATGAATCTCCTGGGGTAACATTGTTCGGGAAACCTTAGTTTAGTATGAAAATGCATGAAGAGATTTGTAGGTTGATATTACCAAAAGGCGACGACTAAATCCCGTTGTACCGCAGCCGTTCGGCTTTAATACAGCGTCCATGATATGATGCACGAATGCTCAGTCCGTTTTCGCCCGAAGCGAGGAAGGATGTCTCGTAGACTGCGTCAACCTGAACGTCTTAGTAGAGGTAGAAAGTACGACAGGATTCAGCTGCCGTCGTCTTCTGGTGAGATCAACCTACGAATATCTTCACTATCCACTTTAATACGAAATGAAGGTCGCCTAAACAACAATTGTTTGTCATCGTTTTATTCCTTAAAGATAGCGAATCGATTCCCAGATCACGTAACAATTAGTTAAATATAGGTGTGCAAGAAAAAATAAGCAAATCGAGTGATCTCACTGATTATATTCTAGTTTTTTGGTGTACAAGCACTGAGTGGATTCCATTAAAAGGCTACGAATCTGAAAAATAACCGTCGATCAATTGATATAGTATAAAGATAGAAAAAGTTGAGCTTGGCCATCCAAAAGGAAAGAAATACTGAAAAAAGTTATAATCACCTTATCTGGTGTAAGACAATCCACACCCCAATTCCATCCAGGGCCAGGGTCTACAGCAAAGTGGATGGGAAGGAAAGAAAATGTTTGGGGATCTATCAGGGGTATACCAACGTTGGTGGGAACTCGACGGAGAACATCCTCTGCTCTAAACTCTTGTTTTTCCAGACCGTCAAGGTGGTTGCTGCTGCTACTGGAATTCTCAAAGTACGCAACGCCCTCATTGGGATTGAAAGGATGATCAGATTTGCTTAAAGGGCTTCTCTCGAGGTCTGGCGAGAAAGATGAGTCGATCTGATTATTAGAAAGTAAGGAAAAAGAAAAAATTACTCATTCTTTTTGAACCACATAGAATCGGACTAAGGAATTCATAACATATTCAGTATAGCTTAAAGTAAGCAAAGTAAAACC